GATCTTGCTCTCCACCTGTCTATGAGCACTTTATGTTCCAGACTGTTCTTAACTTGCCGTGGTCCCTTCATCCCAGACTCTGACATCGCTTCCTTTTGTGTTCCACACCCAACCTCAGTCTGCCCTAGCTCATCTCTCATGCAGTTTCTGTCCTGGGACAGAGTCCAGACTCCTCTTACTCCTAACAGGGAAGGGGCAAGTGAGATGGTCTCTGTGTTCATGCTTTGTGAGGTTACCAGACTTATCTGTAAAGAAAAGAGAAGCAGGGAACCAGCAGTTAGCGTAATGGCTATGTCGCTGGACTCCCACGTAGTCGACTGTGGTTCGTGTCCCGGACCCGGTGGCTTAAAACTCACGCCGGGTGCGTGTGCGTGCGTGCCCAAGATCCCGAGAGGAGAATGGAGGAGAAGGGATTGCAGCGTGACCATCCCCCTGGGGGGTGATTTCTCGCTTTCTGTCTCTATGTCTCTCTCTGTCTGTCTGGCGAGCGCACGCGCCCTACAGTGAAAATCTCTCCCCCCCCAAAAAAAAGAGAAGAGAAGCATGGAGAGTGCAAAGTAGAAAGATAAAGAGAATGAAGTAATTATTAGGTTGTCGGGAAAATCATGACACATTTTTGCATAGAAAAATATGTCATGACTTTCCCTACAACCTAATAGAATACAGTAGAGATGAAGGTCAAAGATAACCTAACAAAAGAATAAATGTCAGGTGTCTGTGCATGCATGCCCAAAATCCTTAAAGGAGAGGGAGGTGGAGATTGAGGAGAAGGGATTATGACATGGCCATTTCCCTATGTGGAGTGCTTTCTCTTCTCCCTTTTTTTTCCCTGTCTCTCTGGTGAGTACACGCTCTTACAAAAAACAAACAAACAAACAAACAAAAAAACACCAAAAGCCAAAAAAAAAAGTGATTGATGGGCCTACAGGGAAGATTTGAATGAGTCGAAATATTACATGGAAAAATTTCTCTATAATAAACTGAGCATCACATAAAAGACAACCCACATGATAACAGAAGAAAGTGATACAAAACTGTATAAATAGTGCAAGTTAAATGACTTCACTTCACAAATAAACCATGTATCCATGGTTATCAGAGTAAGTCACATATGGAGAGAAAAAAAATAAGGCTGGTTTCAAACTCTTTTATAGTAATATTTTATATTAAAAGCCAATAAAGCAATAGGTACAAAATGTGGCAGCCATGTTGTCATTTGAGATTAAAGTTTGACTACCTCCATTGGCCATGATGAAGTAACAAGATCAAGTTGGCCCTTGATTCTTAAAAAACAATAATGAGATAGAAAATGAGGTATGAAGAAATGGTTCGCAGACATTAAACTTCAGCAGAGGTCTATAATTCCTGAGAGAAAAGAAATAAATGAGGTAAGACTACAATTGTTCCAGGAAGTTTCTAAGGAAGGAATTTCTAGATCATGGAACAGGAGAGGAAACCAAAGGAGCCCAGTGGTCTTATGAAGTTGAAGAGAAATAGACAAGAGTTTAGGGAGATCAAAGTGGTTAGAATGGGTGGTGAGCACTGGAGAGGAGAGAGGTACAGAGGAAAATCTGAGAGGGCTGCTGATAAATTGTTTGAATATTTGATTGCGTACTGATGTACATCCCTGAAAGGAAGCTGGTAAGGCCGGGAAGAGAACTACAAGAAAGCAGTATGACAAACAATTTCTAGGGCTTAATCAGGTTAAGAGGAAAGATCTTGTACAAGAGAATTCAGAAAGAGACCCACACAAACATGGTCATCTGATTTTATTTTTAGAGAAATTTTTGCTATATAGTGTGTGCTCACCAGAGAGAGAGAGAGAAAGAGAACATGAGAAATGACCCCCCCACACCCTGAGGGGAGATGACCATGCCACAATCCCTTCTCTTCTATTCTCCTCTCAGAATTTTGGGCATGCATCACATACATGTGCTTGCTGTGAATTTGGTGCTGCCAGATCCGGCACTCAAAACATGGTCAGCCATGTGGAAGTCCAGCGACATAACCACTACACCATCTGCCAGTCCCAGTCATCTGATTTTTGATAAAGACATTAAGGCAACTCATTAAAGAAAAAATAACCTTTTCAAGAAATCAAGCTTGAACAATTGTATATATATATATATATATATGAAGCTCAACTCTTATCTACTATCATGTAAAACTCATAATATTTCATAAATAAGTTAATGAAAACTATAAAACTTCTAGAAGAAAATATATGAAAAAAATCAAGTTAGAGATGTCTTAAATAAAACATATAAATCATAATCCCTAGAATAAAAATGTTGGTAAATTGGACTTCACTAAAATTTTTAAATTTTGCTTTTCAAATGAAAAAGCAAGCTAGCACTTTTCTGACTTGGAACCAACCCAAATATCTACAAACTGATGAATAGATTAAAAAATTGTGGCACATATACTCCATGGAATACTATTCAGCCCTAAAAGATAACAAAGCCTTGGAATTTGATAGAAAGTAGATGAATATGGAAGATTTGTTGCTGAGTTAAGCAAGTCAGGCTATGGAAGAGAAACACTGCATGTCTCCACTTAACATATGCCAACTGTCCACACTCTATGATAGAGACTGAAAGACTGGAGAACTAAAAGTATTAAAAATTGTAAAGGACATTAGAGACAAAGTGGAAAGGGAGTGTGTGTGTGTGTGGGAAGAGCATAGGAAAGCAAATTTGGGGGGAAAATGGAGATGTAAGATATTTGTGGGACACAGATAATGTTTATTATCTATGGACAAGGGTGTGTATAATAGTCTCAACTGGGCTGGCTGGACTGAGTTGTAAATCATGCTGGGTAAAGTCTTTTCACAATCTAAATGATGTTTAGCAATTTAATGTATGAATAATAATAATAATAAATTAAAAAAAGAAAAAGCAAGCCAGAGACTGGGGAAAAAAATAATTTGACAATGTACGTCTAAAAATATATGACATATGCAAAATATATCTCTAATAAATACTGTATCAAGAATATACAATATAAAGAATTCTCACAACTTAGCAAAAGAAGACAAATCAATTTAAGAAAATGGGTAAATGCTTTAAACAGACATTTCACTAAGGAAAGTATATGTATGGCAAAGAGGCACTAAAAAGATGTTCACCATTATTAATCTTAACTACATGCAAATGAGTGAGCCACCACTTCATTCTCATTAAAATACCCAATTCTGAAGTATTGATGGTAGCAAGTGCTGGTAAGGACATGGAGCAACAGGACTATAGCACATATTGCCTATAGGAATGCACATCGCTACAATCACTTTGGAAAGCAGTTTGTCATTTCTTTTAATGTTAAGTATATATTTATCATGTCCCAGTAATTTATCTCCTATGTATTTATCCAAGAGAAAGGGAAGAATATATACACACAAAGTTATGTGCACAAGTGTTCACAACAGCTTTGTTAATAATAGCCAATAACTCAAATTTATCAAAAGAGCCATCAGCTGTTGAATGAATAAACATTTTCAGTGTATATAGATGGATCTCAAAAAAATACAGATAGATACAAAGTATTATGTTCCATGCTTTATCATATCTATGAAACTCTACAAAAGTCAAAGCCATAGTGATAGAACTTCAGCTTAAAGCACTATTACCCCAAATGGCCACGATTTATAAAAACAAAAAAAAGTAACAGGCATCATTTTCCACCACTGAAGAAAAGAGAATTTTTTTCATACATTGACAGTAAAATTATGAGTTAGAGGATGCTGTGAAGGCCAGTTTGCATTTGGTGTCAAAAACCTAAAACTAACTATGGGAATCAGCAGTTCTTCTTGTGGGATTTATCTAAGATTACAATTAGTTATCTATATTCAAACAAGTTTATATAAGCAAAAAACTTACTAATATCTCAAATAGCCAAAATAGAATAGTGTTAAACAAGTGATGGTAAATCCAATAAATGGAAGGACATAAAATAGTAATTTACAGATGATGTATAAAAACCTATGGGACCTGGGACCAGCAGTTAGTGTAATGGCTATGTCACTGGACTCCCATGTAGTTGACCGTGGTTCAAATCCTGGACCTGGCAGCTTAAACTCATGCCAGGAGTGTGTGCATGTGCACCCAAGATCCCGAGAGGAGAATGGAGGAGAAGGGATTGTGGCATGGCCATCCCCCTTGGGGGGTGATTTCTCACTTTCTGTCTCTCTGTCTCTGTCTTTCTGGTGAGCGCACACGCCCTATAGCAAAAACCTCTCCAAAACAAAACAAACAAACAAACAAAAAACCCTAAGGGACCTGACCAAAGCTATATTTAGAGGAAAATTCATATTTTAAAGTATTTTATTATTAATACAAAAATAAAATAAGGAAATAAAATCTTTATTTCAGAAAATTAGAAAAAGAAAAACAAAATAAAGTCAACAATAGAATTACAATAAAAAATACACTATTTAAAAAATCACAGGGATTGCAGCATGGTCATCCCTCCTGGGGGATGATTTATCATTTTCTCTCTCTGGCAAGCATACATGTCCTGTGGGGGGTGGGTGTGTGTGTGTGTGTGTGTGTGTGTGTGTGTGTGTGTGTGTGGTGTGTGTAGTGTGTACACCTATATATATGAGGAGCGGTAAACTTTTATTTTTCTACTTCACATTACCTTTGGCCAAGGCTTAGTCTCCTTAGGGTTTCCTTAGTGCAAAATCACCAGGCAGTAAAACAATTCTTAATGATGTTGAGCTTTCTACTGTTGGCTGCTAGAATAAGCAAGATTTTGGGACTTCATATCCTTCATATCCTCATCATTGAGGAGTTTTAATTCTGTCCTGATGTGATAAACTGAACTTGCTTCCAAGGTACTTGACAAAGGATTAGAAATTAATCATGTGTTGAGGAAGTCCTTGGAAAGAAAATGGCTACCCTTGTTCATGTGGGTTGGCTGTAACCATAGCAACCCCTTACTCCAGACCAAAGTTCAACTACCATAAATCTTTATGACCATGCTCATAGTTCAATGTTCATTAGCACAACCCTTCCCTTCAAGAACAAGGTTTTATATTTTACAGCGAAGTATTAGACTCCATTTCCAAGCTCTGGATTCCAAATGATAAGGCCCAAAATATTATAAGAAGATCTTTGTTTTTATTACCCTAGAGAACTTACTGGCTGAGGAAATGCCTACAAAAACAAAAACTTTGCTCTTCTTATCAAGTTTTTTCACAAGCCTTGGGTCTTTCATCGTAATTTGCTATATTCTTGGGACACAAGAATGGATCACCAGTACAATTGCTGTTAGAGACGAAACGTCGAATGGTAATGTTACCCTCACCTGTGGACTTTTTCGTGGTAAGAGTGCTCAACAGTTGGCTCAAGGACTTGAAGAAACAGGAAAAAATTTTGAAGGTAAATGATAAATAAATTTGAATGGGTCTAGTGAGGTTCAGTTAAGATTCATGTCATTCTGGGACCAGCAGTTGACTTAATGGCTATGTTGCTGGACTCCCATGTGGTCGACTATGGTTCGAGTCCCAGACCTGGTGGCTTAGACTCACTCAGGCACATGTGTGTACATGCCCAAGATCCCGAGGGGAGAATGAAAAAAGAGGGATTGTGGCGTGGCCATTCCCCTTGGGGGGGGGGTGATTTCTTGCTTTCTGTCTCTCTGTCTCTCTCTGTCCTTCTGGCGAGCGCACACCCCCTATAGCAAAAAAACCTCTCCAAAAAAAAAGAGATTCATGCCATTTTACATTTGAACCAAACAACCATTCAAAAATAATTTCCTTGTCACCTTTAAATTGGATTAAAGATATGAGCCTAATTCATAATTTTGAAAATTCATCATAAAATGATTTCAGCTCCCTCAATTCTGACTGAATCCGTTACAACATTCTAGCAGTGGTTGTATTTAAATGGTACCTACCAAGTTTATTGACAAGTAAATAACGAAGTAAAAATGCATCACAGCAATAACGGTATTCAATAGCCAATAAGGAGCAATATTTTTTAACTGTATTAACTGTGGATTTTTAGTTAGGATAGCAACACCTGTCCAGCATTTCATAAGTAACATCTATACAAGAGGGAAAAAAAGAGAAAACATGGTCAACTTCTTATTCCAGCCTCTCAAGTTCATTTTTCTAACTGATTTGTGTTTCTATTCTTACTCCCAAAACTTTTCAATGTTTTTGGAAATGATATTAAATTTCAATTAATTCTATTAATTGTAGATTTTACAAAAATTTCTAATTTTTAAAATTTCTTACACGATAATGCCTCCCTGTCAATAAGTGAAAAATAAGAACTCATTGGGAAGGCTAGGTTGATTTAGCTTTTTTTTTTTTTTTACTTTTGATATTTGATATCCACCATATCCACCATTAGGTTTATAATTTTAAGAACAACATCTATAAATTATGTAAGACATTAAATGAGCTTTGTTTTAAATAGCGATACATAGAGATACACAGACGTTATCAGGAATTATATAGTTATTACTTCCTGACTTAAAGAAGTGCATCATTTTCTACCTTATACAAATGTAGTATTTAGTTCTTGTGTAAAATATGTAGGTAGGGATTTGAGCCTCACACACTGCCTCTAGGTTCTAGCTATTGTTTATTTATGACTTTGTTAATAAAATGATTTCTTTAAATTCAAAGCAACATAGTTAAGTTTCCAAGTTACAAACTTATCTTTTGAATATTAGCAAAAGCCACTACTCTTGATGTTTCAGCAGCTTTACACAGTTCCTCTGATATCAACTTCAGCTTCCTGGGAAGATGAGGAACGTTTGCTTTATAACAATTAGAAACTAAGACTTTCGAAGATTTAGTCATGCTTTCGGGATGGGTGCTTTCAAAACTAAAACGTGTACCAGTTTCTGAATCCCCAGACACATTTCAGAAATTTAACATAAGAAACAAAACCTACACATTTTTTGGCTTTTGCAGTGCCTGTTTGGAATCAGTTTAATCTGAGATAAGAGGCTTCAATGGAAGCCCTGAATATCTGTATCCAGAGAAGACTCAGAGGAAGCCAGAGTGGGTCAGGCCTGGTTCTAAAGGTCTGTTTGAGTGCCGGTGAGCATGGTGGTATCAGAAAAGCAGGGGTAGGAGGAATCAGAGAACCCCAAAGAAGGCCAGGGTCAAGAGGGCAGCCCATTATAGGAGCCCAAAGAAGGTGGGACATTGGCATTCTCTTTGCCTGACTCTACTTCACTCTTTGTTGCTGGGAAGCCACATTCTAACCTTCCGGAGTCACTGCCGAAACTCCTAGCGCTGTAGAACATTACCCTCCACTCGTTCAAGAGGACCCCCCCAGAGCCTAGGGCTCCTTTCTTAACAATGACCATAGCAATTCTTGAACTTAGAACACTTGTAAACAGTCCTTAGACTGGGGAGAGGACATGTTGCTAAAACATATTCCATGTGGTGTTCAGCTGTTTAAGGACCAAGGGTGCTTTCCCTGGCAGAAGAACTGCAGTATTTACAGGGAGGCATGGATACTCTCTTACCAGTTTCTCAGGATCATGGTCGGCTTGTTTCAAGTCAGAAACTAATCACTGGCAATATAATAAAGTCTGTATAAATGCTTCTTTCTTGCCTGGCATTGATAGACTATGTCCTTTAAGTTAACTATGTTGACCTTTTTGGCTAGCATGAGGTCACACTGAAAATCTGCAAAGAGTAATAAATATTGCAAAGCTCTGGTATATTTTCTCATAGGATCTACCATGTTGTGGCAGTCCTGACTGTAGATTTTGAAATGCAAGGGCAGAATGAAGTGTCAATGGCTGATATCAAAGTGCCAAAGTAATTCTACCAATAGTAGGGCAATTGGTGGGGAAAAGAAACAGTCAGATCTGGTAAGGAACTCTTCCAATGTGTAATTGGATGGCTTGGGCAGCAGCTCAGGCTTATTGAGATGCATCCTAGTTTGTCATCATCCAGTTGAAGGTCCTGGATATCAACCCATGAGGAAGTTGTTTATGACACTCCAAAATTTCTGAATATCTAATTTTGATTCAGAAGACTTTTCCCGAGCAGATGCTGTGTGAGGGAGGGTCTTAGATACTAAAAAGAATTGTACATAGTTCCTGGCCTTAGAGGACTCACTACCTAGTACAATAAAAGACTCTCCATCAGTTCAAATCAACACCTTACACTAATTGCTGTGGCAAATGTATGTGCAGGTGTCTATGAGAGCAAGTGGGGCTTCGTGTGTCTGCATAGACTTCTTGGAAGACAAAATTCTAAAACATGAGTTCACAGGACACTGGTCCACATCTGGTGATTGGCTCCTCATTTTGGATATTGGGTGCCATGTAAATAGAGCAGTTAAAAAGATAACATTCCCTTAACTTTATTTTTTGAAAATGCAGTCAAGGTCCAACGTGCATAATGTGTAATATATTTCCTTACACTGGCAATAGTACTGAAATAAAAAACATTGGGATATCAAGTTCCCAAATGTCATTTACTTAACTCACATACTGACCAGAAGATATATTTTTACAAAATCACTTCGACAGGAATAAATTTTGTGAAAGTTATTTCTTTTCATGTGACACCAAGTCTCTTTGTTCTTGGTCCCCGAAACAGTGTGGTTTGTAAACACGTGGCACTTTGAGCAGCTGTGGTGCCAACAGCATTGGTTCTTAAGTTGATGGTACAGTCACCTGGGATGGTGGTACACGGTCTCTGCACTTGACGCTCTCTCTGGGCCAAATGAATAAGAATCTCAGGGCCTAAGGCCCTAGCCTGTTCGTTTTTTATTTTTTTCCAGGTGATTTTAACAAGGGTTATTTTATTTAGTTAGTTAGTTTGTTAGTAGAGAGATTTTTGCTATTGGGCACATATGCCTGCTGGAGAGACAGAGCGAAACAGAGAGACAGAAAGTGAGAAATCACCCCACAAAGGAGATGACGACACTGCAGTTTTTTCTCCTCCATTCTCCTCCCTGGATTTTGGGCACACACACTTATGTGCCAGCATGAGTTTTAAGCTGCCGGGTCCAGGACTCAAACTGTAGTTGATCATGTGGGAGTCCAGTGACATAATCATTATGCCATCTGTAGTCCCAATAAGGGTGCTTCTAATTCAGGGTTGACAGCTGACAGCTTCTGTCATGGTCAGATGCTATATTGATGGATATACATCACTATGCTGGGTATCGTTTTTTAAACCCCTCGATGTGACCTAATTGAAGTTAAATTAAATTATTGGAGAGAGCTCTGGTTACAGCCTTGCAAATCATCTAAGGCAGGCAAAGAGGAAGCCTCAGAATCTGCTGGCCTTTGACCGTTGTGTTTGAATCAATGATCAACTTCAACTAGTGGGAGTTTCATCCCCATCTGGCTTCTCCTCTGCCTGCCAGTCTCTTTTCTCCTTCGACCCCCATTTGTTCCCAGGGAATTCAAATTGTACTATTAGCCCAAGCTAAAAATAATTAGGAAAATAAATCTGTTGCAAAAATTAATTAATTGCAGAGAGGAGAATAAAAGAAGTTTTATTTCTCCAGAATTTCAGGAGAGCTTCTACTTTACTGCTCTCACCTACCACCCCCACCCCAATGATCCTTATCCACATAAGGATACTCTTCCTTAAAGAGGAGCTACTTATCTCCTCCCTCCCCCAAGATGTGACCACACTGGGAGCTGGACAGTACAAGAGGCAAAAATGGTGCCTCTTAAGGCTCAGATTATTCTCCCTCCCAAAATCCTGGCAACTTTCCAAGAGGCGAGGGCATCAACCAAGAATTCCTGGGAGAGTCCCAGGTCATGCTCTGCCATCTATTGCTATAATGAGCTCCTTCACTGATGGTCTGTAGCTCACAGATTCATAAGCTCTACTTAGCCAGACTTCCTGGTGAACAGGTGTTTGGGAAACAGACTCCACCCCCTGCAAAGCCACTGGCTCTCCCTTAATGTCTGAGGACTTACAGAAAACTAGGACTTGAGGGCAGAGATAACAGGTGGGTCTGACAGGGCCTGATGGGGTTAAATCTTCCTGTGTGGGGAACCCAGATGTCTGGATGACCCTCATTTCTGCACACTGCCCCTGCCCGGCAGCATACTTCTGTGTCCCAGCTGCGGAGTCTGTGGGCCGAGCATTCATCTGAGGTCATGTTGTTCTTGGCCTCTTTCCTGAGGCTGTCAAAATCAGGGCAATTAGTTCCAATTGTGAGGTGGCTTTCCTGATTCAGATGCTGGCCTCTGAAAAAAAAAAAAAAAAAAAAAAAGGAACGGGATGTATTTGCTAATTTCGTAGGCAGAGAGCAGCTGTCAGATGCTTTGGAGGTTTATTGTTATTTCATTTGTGCTAACTTTCCACCAAATTTTCAGCTTTCATTGTCTTTGAGTTCTGAGGAGCAGGAGCTGGAGGGGAGATACAGCTGTCATACCTAGGTGGCAGGGAATTTAGCATGCCGAGAAATAGTTTTAAAATGCAGCAGTTAAAATTAAGATAAATTGTCACCTTAACATGCAAGGAAGTATGACTCAGCAGCCGCCAACCTGACTCCCTTTTGAAAAATCCCATCTATTCGCCCCTACCAAAAGTTGAAAACAAAGTTAAACTCAATGGCTACTTTCTAGTTTACTCCAGGAAAGTGCAATGTTAACCATTTATGAATGAAAATTTACTTACAGGTTTAATAAGTCTGTCAAACAAGGCTGGCCAGTGGACTACGATTGGGGTAGCCGGACCTTGCATGGCCAACCTTCCAGTTTAGGTCTCCGATCTGGAGCTTGCAAGATACCCCGGCATGTGCCTGTGCATGTCCGGGATCCTGACAGGATAGAGAGATGAAGGAGAGGGATTGTGGCATGACCATGCCCCGTCGTGGGGTGCTTTCTCCCTCTCCTTCTCTCTCTGACCAGTGCACATGCCCTCTGGTAAAGCAGAAAAACATTCCAGGGCACTTCAGGTGCCTTGGGCAAAGGACATATTCCTCACACTGGAGTTTCTCTCTTCAGGTTATATATTAGAATTATTTCTTGGGACCAGCAGATGGTATAATGGTTATGTTGCTGGACTCCCACATAGCTGCCCATGGTTCAAGTCCTGGGTCTGGTGGCTTGAAACTCATGCTGGGTGTATGTACATGCATGCCCAAGATCCTGGGAGAAGAATGGAGTAGAAAGGATGGCGGCATGATCATCCCCCCCAGGGGGTGATTTCTCACCTTCCCTCTCACTGTCTCTGTTTCTCTCTGGTGAGCACATACCCTAAGGCAAAAATCTCTACAAAAAAAATTTCTTATTGGCTACCAAACTTGGCAATAAAGAGAGTTTAGTTCCCAGCAAACTTCTGATGAGCTTTAAAGAGTTGCTCTTTAGTGCCCAGGGAGAAGCCAGCAGTAGGAAGTGATTTCTCGTGTGACTAAGCACTGAGACATCTGCAGCATCCAACCTGTACCTCTGAACAGGTGGGCCTTACCTGTGCCTGATGCTCTTCTCCTTCCTCCAGTGTTATCTCCCACTAGTTTCAAAACAGTTATGTACAGCAATGTGAATTCCTAGACCATATCTCCACAGTGAGTGGGAGAAAGGTAAGAGACTGGGTGTGAGGTCAGGGGCAGAATAGACCCAGCCCAGGTGTCCCTGCCTCTCTCAGGCAGAGGGCAGACTCATCAAACCCCACCCATCCTTGCCTGTGTGACAGATGGTGGCTGACATGACGATGCTTTCACTTTAGCTCAGCTCTTGTTAGAATTCTTACCTGGGAGGCACAGGACAGCCATGAGGATTTTACCACATTCTACGGGTTGTTAAGAGAAATTGTGCAACAGTCCAGTCACCGTCAAGTACTAGTAGGCTGTACCAGTGTGAGTGGAACTTTGCTCCCAGTGCCACTTGAGGAGCGAGATGTTCTTAAGCCAAAGAAAGTGAGGTCATCATCTGCATGTCCCTAAGCTGCCAATTGCCTCCTCTTTGCTCCGTTCTCCATGGTTTTCAAGAGATGTATTATCGTCAGGCAGTATCCATGTTTCCCATTTCCTGCCCATTTCTCTTTCCTACCCTCTTGCTTTCCTGCATTTTCTTGCTGCCACGTTCCCCCTCATTCTTTTAGACCTTGCCATTACCTGGCACTGCCGCTTCCTAGGCCTCTCCCACATTCCTGCCTACGGAGTCTCCTAGCTCTGGACTCAGCCGTGAGATACACACCACTCAGGATGCCTCCCTTCTCTCTGTGGATGAGTGTCTTTACAATAAGACCGCATTGCCAACAGCCCCAGAGAGTGTGTCTCAGATGCCCAGTTGCAGACTTGTTGGTTATATCTCTTTCATGCCTGCTCTCCATCGAACTGGAGGAAATTTATCTCTCTCATAAAAATCTGTTGGTTAAAAAGAAAAAACAAAACAAAAACAAAAACAAAACAAAGGCAAACAACTAGAATTAAGATATTAAAAAACAGGGTGAGGACCTAGTCCTGGGCAAAGTGTTAGATCTCATTGGAAAGCCTGTGTCCATTCTGGACAGCATGCTTGGAGAAATAGAGTTGCACTGAAGTATGTGCAGGGGAGGCCAGGCGGCCAGGGGTTTTGGAATCATCCCCACAAAGCAAACATCTGAGATACGAACTGCTGTTAATCATGGGGGATTTACATCCCTTCTTAAATACAGTCTGTGTCAGATAACATTTCAGTCTACAACTGACCGCATATGTGACAGTGGTCCCATAAGTTTATAATAGGCTGTACAATATAATCTAAATGTGTAGGGGGTTTTACCATCTAGGTTTGTATTATGCTCTATGATATTTGCACAATTTTCAAATAATTAAGACAGTGCAGTAAAAGAAAGAGCCACCTTGCAGAAAGAGGGCTTTCACTTTTGGGACACTTTTGAGATCTGGCTCTCCTCCCATGGGTCCTCTCAGCACCTGGGTCTCCTAGTTCTCACTTCTCCTCTTGAAGTACTGCAGTTCAGGAGGAGAAACCTGGACCTCCTGCAGTTCATGAGTGAAAACCTGGACCTCCAGGTGGAACCCTGAAGTACTCTTACCTGATCACTCTGATTTCTGGCCTTTAAAGCTGTTTTGGAGTAAGGATGTGAGTCTCTATGTCTCTTTCCCGGGGAACCCGAGAAAAAAGAATGGAAAGAAAGAGCCTTGCACTTGTTCTTACCCACCCCATGATGGTTAGTTTACCTGGCAGTTCCCAGTGATTTTTGTTGTGTATTACTATCAACTTTGAAATCTTTCTCCCAGAAGACTTCCCATCTGTCATTGTGACTTTTATGAACCTCTCTGTAAACACTTTATTTACTGTGGAGGGCATCATCTTACATGCTGACAGCCCCTGGAGAAGCTTTAAATGTTGGCTGTCTGGTCATTTGAGTTGTAGACAAAGGAGCAGGCAGAGGAAGCAGACTCACAGGGAGGAGGGCGTGTGCTGGACCGAGCAGGACAGCCAGATAAGGAGCTGGTGACTGACAGCCACATGTGCCTCTGGTTTTTTTTTCCCTTTTTTCTTTTTGTCAAATTTTCTTTCTTCCTTCTTTTTTTTCTTTCTTTCTTCCTTTCTTTTCTTTCTTTCTTTCCTTTCTTTTTTAACATCTATTTATTCATTTATTTATCTGGGTCATCAGAAAAGTCATGATGTATTTTTACATAGAAAAATGACTTTTGTGATGACCCAATATTTATTTGTTCTGATTTTCAAGTTGCCGGATCTGGCATTTGAACCACGTCAGTCATGTGGAAATTCAGCACCTTAACCACCATGCCACCTGCTGGCCTCCACCTCGGTTTCATTTTATACTCATGGATACCCATGTCGGAACTCATCTACACTAAAGAACTATGCAAAATATATACAATGTTGTTAGAATTCGGTAAGTTTCTCTATGAAAAATGTCTGAAGATTCAACCAATGCCAGATTCCCAGCTGCTTCCAGTGTTGGATCCCTGTGGGTCTTTGATCTTTGGTTCCAGGGAAGGGGATACTAGAAATAAGGCCAGCATTGCAGTTTGCACCAACAGAAGTTATTTTCTGTCGTCACTGCCAACTTCCACCTCCCACCTCCTTGCTCAGTTCCCTTAGTCCTCTCTCTCCTGGCTTTCTCTCTGATGGCTATCCCAACTCACCAGATCATCTCGAAGCCCAGAGTGCATGAGGTCCTTATGGTGCACAGGTTTTCAGGGTGGCCCATCTCATAGATGTCTCTAAATAAAGCTAGGAGTTATGAAAAAATTGCAATAAAGACCATGGTTGTCCCAGCTCCATGGCCTGGCAACTAAGGCAGCAAGATCCCACATGACCTACCACGGAATTTAAATCCAAACCCTGTAAGCTTGAAAAACACACCTAGTGCATTTGCATGCCCAAAATTCAGACAGCATGGAGAAGTGGAAGAGAAAGGATTGTGACATTACCTGGTCCCCGTTTTTTTTTTTTTTTTTGGAGGGGTGCAGGTGTTTTCTCTCTCCTGTCTCTGTTTCTCTCTCTCTGACAAATACATGTGTCTTTTGGGAAAAAGAATTTTTAAAAAGCCCAGGATCTGAGGCCAGAATGTATTAATGGGAAGGTTGTCAAACCTTACAAGTATTAAGGAGGCCATGCTGTCTCCTAGGGGACTTTACAATCAGTATAAATGTCCAGTTATCTAAAGTAGTGGAGCTTCACTTGTTTAACCACAGACTCAGCAACTGGCCTACAGTGAGGAATGCAAGTCTTGTTCTTGCATGACTTAGAGGTGCATCGTCTCTCTAATTGACATCTGGCAATTGCTAACGAAAGTACTAAGAGGATAGTACATGGGAAAATGCTGGGCTAGCATTGGCATTTGTGTTTTACTTTATGTACTTACAAATGTTGTTTTAGTTTTAGGAACACTGAGCAGTTCTCCAAAAACTCTACATTTGGTGGCTATCCTGTTCCTGGTTCTCAGTTTGTCCACTTCACTCCTGAGTTCTGGGTTCACCTTTTACAACAGCATCAGCAACCCCTATCAGACCTTCTTGGGACCAACAGGGGTATACACCTGGAATGGACTCGGCGGTGAGTATCCCTGTGAAAACCGGTTCCCCATGGAGGGCCACATTCTTGCCATCTCGCTGCACCCCTCTCATACACATGAACATATGCAGTCATTTTCACGCTGTGGATATGAGGACCTATACAGTCCTGGGTGTTGTGCTGGGGACTAAGGCTTAATTTTTTTTTCATCTAAGGCATTCATTAAGCATCTCCAGAAATAAATTTCTGTTTTAAATATATTGGTAAGAAGCAAGTGGTGGGGTGAGGAAGGCATGTTAAAATAACCTAAATAAATCCGTCTTTGTTTTTGAGAATGTAAGGAGTCAAAGAGAACATGCATACATCAAAAACAAATCACTGTGTTCTTGTTATGTACTTAATTCCAAACTGGGCTCCACGTGATGTATAGACGTACACACGTATGCTCCCCCATACACAAACACACACATATAAACATGCACACACATACACATGCACACCTTTATTTACTCTCCTTATCATCTTCATATGATAAGAGTCAGCTGAGGCTCCAGGCAGGACACATCTGCATGGTTTGCCACAGAGCCACAGTGTCACTTAGGAGAATGTGGCGCCAACACCCTTGTGGGCTACATGTGAAGCCAGGTTGTTGCTGTGTGGTGTTGCTAGGTTATTTCTTTTTATGAGGGGGATATTAAAGAGCCTGGATGGGAAGTGGAACCCAGCTTTGACTCAGTATTTTTGACTTTACCTGGATTTTACCAGAGCTTTGTGCCTATTACATCTGCCCAGAGAGGATAAATAGAGCACCAGTTCACCCTGTCCAGCCGGCTTTCCGGGCCTTGCCCTTTCAGGCACCCAGGTGTCTCCTGCTCTCTCACTCTGTCCACCCTCAAAGCCTGACCTTGAGAGTAAAGCCCATCCTACTAAGGGGATGATTCCAGGGGTGGATCCATGTATGGTTCTTGATACATTTTAGCCAGACCATAAATGTTCAAGTGCAGGCAAGATGCTCTGGATACTGGGGTGTCAAGAAGACTTGAAGGAGGAACTGGGAGCCGCGTGTCTTCCATCCTATGGAAGGCCATGCCTCCCACCAGCCTAGTGGCTGGAAAAGACCCCGAGGTTCCATGCTAGAGCCATCAGCAGTGGTATGTGGAAGGACAGTGAACAACTGGCTCTCCATGATGGGGGAATAAAGAAAGGAGAACAAGGCCTTGACTGTAGCATAGGCTGATTTGCATGTTGTAAACATGTCTGCTCTGGCCATTTTCCAGCTCCCAGTGCAAGGTCACTGAATGGGGAGTTGAGATGAATGAGCCAGCCAGTCCTAGTTCAGCACAGGTAGAAGGAAGAAGAATACTTTTAAAAATGCAAAGAGGGGGACCAGCAGGTGGCGTAATGGCTATGTCACTGGACTCCCATGTAGTCCACTGTGGTTCGAGTCCCGGACTGGGTGGCTTAAACTCATGCCAAGAGGATGTGCATGCATGCTCAAGATCCCGAGAGGAGAATGGAGAGAAGGGATTGCAGCATGGCCATCCTCCCTGGGAGGTGATTGCTCGCTTCCTGTCTCTCTGTCTCTCTCTGTTTTTCTGGCTAACGCATGCACCCTATAGCAAAACCTCTCAAAAAACAAACAAATGAAAGATAAACAAATGCAAGGAGGGACTCTGCCATTATGTTAGGAGTACAGGTGGAAACTCGAGCCATCTTGGGCAAACCTGGAAACAAAATCACATTACACACGGAGAGCTCAGCTCCAAAGATTTGACTGGTGTAGTCACAGGACTGACTTTTTTACTTTTTCTGTGTTTTCATGGCCTGGTGGTGAAAACAAATTCCCCACATGTAATGCACATTTGCTATGGTTCAGGAATAATAATCCTGTAGAATAAATATTATTGTTTCCCATTTTACAGTAGAGCTAAGCATCAAGAAACTAAAGGACTTGGTTAAATACTCAGGTTTACTCATTCAAATACCAGGATTCCTTGCCCCAAGCTATTTCTATGATGAAAATCCACTTCAGTCAAGTAACCAAAGACAAACCAATTGACACTCTTTGTCAGGGTACATGGTTATCTTTTATTTTTGTTCAAGTAATTAAGAAACTAAGGGAAATAATGACTTCAAGCATAGCGGGATTCAGGTCTCAGCCTATTCATCAAAACTCTGTTTCTCTCCAATACTCCACCTCTTGATATCCCTAGCTTTTACTCATTAAGTGGCTGTCTTGATTCACTTACAGGTAAGATGACTCACAGCCACCCCAAACACATCACTGATAGCAGTAGCCCCAGGGAAAAAAAAGGTTTCTTATTTCCTAACAGTTAAGAGAAAGTCCAGAGCCTGATTCTTAACAGAATTACCCTCCCATCCCTGAATCAACTTCCTTGGCCGGCAGATTGAGTCTACTGATTGATCCACCAATGAGGTGAGGACACCTGCATGTCCTGAAACTGGGGCTGGGTCAGGCTCTTCACCAGCCACAGGTGTGGGTCTAAGAGGAGGAGTGAGTTCCTAGAGGAAAAGTAGACCCTTGTACTAGATTAGAGGGCTAGATGCAAGCCTGGCAGAACAAAACAGGCCCAGCCTTGCTTGCGGCTAAGCTTGCAGGACTCAGAACCCATCATTCATCGTGTCAAGAACAAAAATCCTGTTTTTCCCCAGGCTGTAGCTTCCATATTCTTTCCTTCACAGTGAGTAGAGGCTAACTTTGCACACTGAAGAGGTTCAATCATGTCTGTGGAGAAAAACATGAAAATAAGAAAGCCAGGCAAACTTCCCCCCAGCCCCTATCTATTTCTTTCAACAAAGAAGTGTTTGACGGGAGAATTCCTGCCACATTCCTACCCCAGCTCAGGGGCAAGTTCTAACACACAGAGAGAAGACATTAGGTGAGTGGAAAACAATCTAAGATGTTGATGTGCTCCTGACATGGGCCTGGAGGAAGGCCTTTGTGTGGCTTTTGCTTTCTTTTCATGCCATTTGCAGCCCTCTTGAACCTAGTGCTTTGATAAGGCAGACTTTTGTTCGGAGTTCCCCCTTTTTGGGGGCTCATGTTCTTCACCCACTTTGAGGGATGGAGAACTTAGTTTACAGGAGTCTTGGGCTCACTGAAGGGCTTGTGCACAGAGATATTACTGATGCAGCCTCATCTTGGGTCATTATGGCCATGGGTCAGGCAGACTCCTGGGATCCTGAAGCCAGTGAGAAGTGCTATAAACTCTCTCCTGTTTGGGCTTGACCAGATTCTCCTTGGCTGGCAGATAGTGGGTAGGATATGGCAGGACAGAGAACAAAGTGCATTTCCTGGGTTGTTTCTGTTTTAAAAGGAGGAGATTCTGCTTCGAGGAAATGAATAATAATATCGTCTTCAAGTCTCACGTCTTCTGATGCTAGACTGCTCTTGACACCACACTAGCCTGATCACAGGTGATATAATTGAATACTGAGAGATGGTTAGGGCCAGAGAGAACTTTGCAGACTGTCTGCTCCAAATACTTTGGTGTCTCAGTCAAGGAACTCAAAAAATAAAAACGACATAGGAGGTCACATGGCCAGACAGAAGCTGGTGTCTCTGAGCCTTTGGGAGCCCCTACTGTCCTCTGAGGCTACCCCCAGTGCCCAGTACATCCTTTTGTCCCAGAAATCTGGAGAACCAGGCAGTTAGAAGCAATGTGGAGGTCAAAGCTCCAGGCATCTCACCCTACAGAAGAATCAGGCTGGCATTGGAGCCTGGGTATTGACCCCTCCCAATTCAAATCAAAGCTCTAGACAGCTGACTCTAGAAAAAAAATACTTAACCCTGTATTCATCCTACCCCTTTATGAGTAAGCTTTTATAAGGAACTTCATAAGAGCATAATGAAGGATAATTAAGGTATCTAGAGAGCATCAGAGGACAGGGACTTTTGTAACTCCAAATTATTAAGAAATAAAACCATTAAGTTAAGGATGAAAGTCTGTCATCAAGGACTGTTAAAACACTCTCCTCACACAAAACTCCTCTAATTAGGGCCTTTTGTAGGACCATTTGGAAAACTTTCCTGGTTGTGGGTTACAACCTGGACACTTGACAGCAAATGTGGATTGAGTTCTGAGTACTTATCAGCAGATGAAGAGTCTCTCGAAGGACTCTATCCTGGAAATCCCTCTGGAGGCCTCCTATCCAGTTGGGCCAGACCACTCACCCACCTAATCACCAGTCCTGGGACATCCATATGCTTATCCTCCCTCCCAAACATTTTCATAATAGCTTTATTAAGATATGATTCATATACTATATAATTTACCCATTTATAGTGTGCCATTCAATGATTTATAGCATGTTCTCAGATACATGCATTACTACTGTCAATTTTAGAATATTTTCATCATCTCAATGAGAAATCCCATGCCCTTTACTTATTACCTGTCTCTCAGCCCACCTCCAAGCCTAAATAACCACAAATATACATTTTTGTGTCTGGTATACGCCCTTTTGAAGATAAGGAATGAGACTCAGAGAAATTATACAACTTGGCCAAGGTCATGTGGCTAGTACCTTCATTCCTGGTTTCTCTGACATTGGAAATAAGTTCTTCTAACTATGCTAAAGTGGTTCTCCAAAGCCTATATTAAGAAATGTTCTCTAGTGGATATCATTGTGAAGAATAAAAAAGGAAAGACAAAAAAATGATACCAGAGGCAAGAAGGTGACATAGTGGTAAAATGCAGCATTCTTTAAGGCTGACTCGCATGGGAAGATTCCAGGTTTGTATCCAGAGACCTCCCTGAGCATGAAGGACATACCTGTGCCCATAGCCCAAGACTGGTTGAGGCAGGGAGAGGTTCATGACACCAAGATTCCCTTGAGAGTGCTCTTCATCTTTCTCTGTCTTTCAACATACAAAGTGAAATTCAAGTTCCTGCGTTGGCATGTTAGACTCTCTAGGGTGGTCTTATATTCAAATACAGTACTAAGGACCCTGAGATCTCCCCCCAGTGGTTAAGCTCTCACGGTCCTGGGTGCTCCAGACTCACTGCCCACCCAATGTTCTTGTTGAGGCTGTTTTTTCCATCTGCAGTGCTATTGTCCTTCCATTCCAAGTCTTCTTTATCCATCCAGACCTCAAGATAGCCTCCCTATTGACTCTCCTATGAACTCATCCATTCAGCACACCTACAACACCCATTGCCCCAGGAACTGATCTTTTTGGCAGATAAATTGTACGGTGACTACTTCTAAAAGGATTTGAATCCAAATATTTGCTCTTGGTCATATACTGCCCTCCAAAATCTTCAGTGTTTCATTCCTGCAAATTTAGTTCATGTCTTACTTTTTTTTTTTTTTGAGAGGTTTTTGCTATAGGGCGTGTGCACTCGCTGGAAATACAGAGAGAGACAGAGAGACAGAAAGTGAGCGATCACACACACAAACACCCTCACCCCCCCGGTGGGATGGCCATGCCGCAATCTCTTCTCCTCCATTCTCCCTTGGTATCTTGGGCACACACATGCGCCTGGTGTGAGTTTAAGCTACCAGGTCCCAGACTTGAACTGCGGTCGAGTATGTGGGAATCCAGTGACATAGCCATTATGCCAACTGCTGGTCCCCTTACACTTCTTTTGTACCTCCCTAACACTTAAGAGAGTATTAATCCTAGTATACATATTTAATAAATACCATAGAGTACATGTTCCATAAAGAGAATAAGCCATATTAAAAATATATATCACCATGTCATTCATGAAACTTAATCTTCTTTACAGCTTCCTCCATTTTCATGACCGTGATACTGTTTGTGGTGAATGTACAGTCCAACCATCTTTCAGAAGAGTTGTTGCAGAGGCTGTATCCAACATTCACTCATGAAGGAATGACACACAGTTATGGACACTCATTTTGGCTCATTTTTCTTGTCATTTTTCTAAATATCGCCACTGTGATCATCATCATTTTCTATCAGAAGGTCAGATACCAGAGAAAGCAAGAGCAGAAAAAGCCAATGGAATATGCTCCAAGAGATGGGATTTTATTCTGAATTTTATGCCATGTCACTTTGGTATTACATCTATTTTATGCCAGTTTCCTGAGTAGTGCTATTTATCTGGACAATCATAATGGTAAAGTGACTGCCATTTGTGAAAGCGTTTGCATTTCATAATACTGCTTCCTTCATAGATGCTGTACTCTTAAAACAAGTTTTTTCCATAAGAGTGAGAAAGATCATTGGAACAGGTCACCAGTCTATGCAGTGTTCAAAGCAGTAGAATAATGATGAGCCTATGGACCCTTCTGACCTAGTCTCACTATCTGAAATAATAAAAGCTATACTGTTCACCTTTACTTTGAGTAGATCAAAGCACGTCGGTACTTATGATCTCATTCTCCCCAGGAGGGACCAGGGCTTTTTATCCCACTCTATGAATGAAGACTTCTAGGTTCAGAACTTGTGTTTCCAGGACCAGATGTTAGAGGTGAAAGAAGAAACTTAACCACAATTACCTGACTCTCTGAACCATCAACTACTGATAAAACTCAAACCCAAGGATGGGTAGAAGTTCTGATATGTGATCTTTCAACCAACTTTGAGATTCCAAGGTGTAGTTTTTGGAGAAAAGAAATTACAAATGTGAAGAGCAGAGAAAGATATAAATTGTAGTCGTATGTTCTATATGCTAAGGAGGCTAAATATTTTATTTTTAATTTGATAGAATTGTGATGAATTAGGACCAGCAGTTAGCATAATAGCTACGTCGCTGGACTCCCATGTAGTGGACTGTGGTTCACATCCTGGACCCGGTGGCTTAAAACTCATGCTGGGCTTGTGTGTATGCATGCCCAGGATTCCGAGAAAAGAATGGAAGAGAAGGGATTGCGGCATGGCCATACCTCCTGGGGAGTGATTTCTTGCTTTCTGTCTATCTCTCTTTGTCTGGCAAGCACACACGTCCTATAGCAAAAACCTCTCAAAAAAAAAAAAAAAAGAAAGAATTGTGATGAATTTAGTCAGAAATGGAAATGAGGCTCTGCAGCAAGTTCTAACAACCACCATATCACCTGACTCTCTGCTTAGTTACTATAGTATAGACATACGTGTAGTTGGTGAGATGGGAAACTATCACCCACCAGGAGACGCCCACCCAGCCAGAGGCTGAGTAAGAAATAGGTTGGAAAACCAGAGTTTGCAGGTATTCATTCCACAGTCAGGGCTAGGGCAAACAGTAATGGGAGTGTTGGATAGTCCTCCAAGAACATGCTGGATGAAATTGGTTCATGTTTCAGGAGAAGATAGTAGGCAACCAGGAAAATGAAGAAAGTTACCTAAATTGATCCATCTATTTTGGCAGTAAAGTATTTTGCAAGAAATCACTTTGAGAATTTTTTGAGCTTGACTAATCCACAAGTTAACCAGGTGGAACATTGATAGGATCCTGAAATGATCACTTGTCACATCTGAGGAAGCCAGAGCCAAAAGAAGCAGAAAGCTCTGGGCAGAATTTCCAATATCTATAGTTTAGACAGAAGGGTCTATCATTTATGAAGCAATCATGGGTTAAAAACCTTCTTGTTATTATTTTAAAATAATCTTAGAAATAATATATTTTATTCATGGCATACACATCTAGTAAATGTAGCCTGGGCATTTGCTCCCATGAAGTTTACTATCAGGCCATCTAGACATATATTTAAAAAGTGATTACTAAATTCTATTTAAAACAGGTATTCAGTCACAAAATCATACTTATTCTTGGGAAGTTTAGTTACCCATCACCATCCACCTCAAAGTCCTACTAATTCAAAGTTACTCTAATATATAATACTATTAACTTATTATAAAACTTTGAACATAAAGGAGAACCAGCAGTTGGCGTAATGGCTATGTTGCTGGACTCCCACGTAGTCGACCGCAGTTCGCGTCCCGGACCCGGTGGCTTAAAACTCACGCTGGGCACGTGTGCGTGCGTGCCCAAGATCCCGAGAGGAGAATGGAGGAGAAGGGATTGCGGCGTGACCATCCCCCCTGGGGGGTAATTTCTCGCTTTCTGTCTCTATGTCTCTCTCTGTCTGTCTGGAGAGCGCACACGCCCTATAGTGAAAACCTCTCAAAACAAAACAAAACAAAACAACTTTGAACATAAAGAAATTATCAACAAGGAAAAATCTAGAAACATACATATTTGCTGAAGGTTTGAACTTTACATCAGGGTTCTTTTTCTAGATTTTTCCCATAGGGTGAGGATGCTTGTGCTCATGGGAGAGAGACAAGAGGGGAAAAGTGAGAAATCACCCCTTGGGCCAGGGGTGGCCATTCCATAATCCCTTCTCCTCTATTCTCCCCTCAGGATCCTGTACACACATGCATATATGCCTGGCAAGTTTCCCTTGTCCTCCATTCTCCCCTCAGGATCCTGAACACACATGCATATATGCCTGGCAAGTTCCCCAAACCACCGAGTCTGGGTCTATGTGTTTATTTTCAGGAGAAATCTTGTAACATACAAAGAAGACTGGAGTATAATTTATAGTCCCAGGTGGTGGTGAAGGGTACCATAAGTTTCTTTCCAGCCTAGAGCTGGTATTTCAGTCAATGCCCTTGGCACAGTGAGGTAGATTGACATTTCTTTTCCTCAAGTAGTAATAACTGCTTAATAGTAACTTGTTCTAAAATTACTAGATAACTATGTATTCTTTTACATTTGGTGTAATGGAACTACCTGAAATATTATTTTGAAGGAGTCTGATTTACTCTATAGGATTAAAATGTTTCAGGGGTCATAGTATGAACCATAATTAACCTACATAGTCCTGTTATGATGAGGTAGGTTTCATATTTCCGAAACAAACAAATTGCATAAAATATGCTCTCTAATTTTATAAAAACATACACTCTGTGATGACAACTTTAGAGAAATCAATACTGTACACTAAGATAAAAGTAATTAGCCCATTGGATCCCCCAGTGAGTTGTGTTTGCAAAGCACAGTGGGAAAGCCTTCAGGAAAAGTCTTCCTATCATTATTTGAATTTGATTTGATCCTCTCAACAAACCCTGTGAGTTAGGCAAGTAAGGCAGGGAGTGTTCTCTCCTTTAATATGACACTCATGGGGTCTAAATAGCTATTCCCCCAGTCAGCCTCACATGACCATAAATGATTGACACCCTCACATGTTACACGTGGAGTTGCAGGTCACACTTCAGTGGCCTCGTGCCTTCTGAGGCTGCTCAGTCTCTCAGACATTGGGGGAACAAGCAGGTTCTGGAAAGGGCAGGTAGGTTCAAGAAAGTTGCAGAAAGGACTTTCCCTTTGCCTGCCCAACATCCACCCAGTGCCCACTCTGTATCCGTCTTTCTCTTACACTGGAATCAGTCCTTAATTGTAGACTTGAAGCCAAGTTCTTAGTTTCCTGGATAGGAGGCAAGTGTGGTAATATGGGATGGGATAGTTCAGAGGCAGGAGCCTTTCTCACCTTGCAATTTCACCTTGAAGAGAAGCTGGAGCTTGTTGGACCCTGAACTCCTCAGGGTTCTTTCTACGTAGCACCCAGCACCTCAGAAGCCTCGAGCAGGTGTCATCCAGCCAGTGGTATAAAGAGCTGACTCCTCTAACAACTAAGGGTGGTGTGGTCTACTCTCTGGTCCTCATCCTTGTCCACAACCCCCTCTCCACTAAACTCCCCACCTGGGAGAGCTGAGCACACAGCTGCAGGCTCCTTTTGCAGACTGCTGTGGCATCTCATTGCAGTTGTAAGAATCTGGCAAAGTCACTGCCACTGCTTGAACTTCTATTTCCCCCAACTAACAAATACTAAGTAATAGAGATAATAATCAGTGTAGGATCAAGTGGGGGAAGATCTGGAGTCAGATTCTCTGGGATATGCTACTTTGATTAAGAGAAATTACTTAATTTCAAAAAGCCTCATTTTAATTATTTGGGAAATGGGGTAACAATAGCAAGTTTAGCTCACAGGACTGCCATGAGGGTGAAACATAGTAAAGAGCTCCGTGCCCTTAATAACTGTTGGTCATCCCTCTTTCACAGAACATAGTAGAAACTCTACAGGTGAGACCAGTGCCACCACTCTGAGCTATAACAGGTCACATGAACTCTTTTGTCCTATAAACAAGCAATAAATAAAAAACTTTACTCCAGGGAGGTTAGTACAAAGAGATTTCAAAAAGTTTCTGGAACGATGGAATTAAAGGATAAGTTATTTGGTGGAAAAAAAAATTGAAATCTGTACAGTTCTTTTTTTTAATAATATGGACTTCCATAAACTTTTTAAAGACCTCTCATAGACTTGCCCAGGCACCTAAAACTGGCAAGGGGCAGAGCAGAATTAAACACAGGTCTCTGGGTCCCTTTTTACCTGCATTTGGTTCAGTTCTATAAACTTTAGTGTGTATCAGTCTAATGGTAAAGTCTGAGAGTAATCGGGGGGAAAAGACTGAAGGTCTGGCTCCCAAAGCTCTGTCCCAGATCCAAAAATGACATCCCTGACACATCCCCAGGACTGAAGTCCCCATCTCACCCTGTTAACTGAACAGAAAGAGCAAAAAAAGGTAATTTGCTCAGGGTAAGGTGTCCAACTTGTTCAAATCCTTGGGTGAATTTGGGTGCTAACCCAGGATGGAGAAGTCCATCTCCCCAACATGGCCTTCCCACTGCACATGGAGAAGGATTTTTTGTGATCCTTAACATAAAAAATCATGGCCCGGGTTACTCCTGGTGATCAGAGTCACTGGTTTATTAAAGCTGCACTGGAAGAGGAGCTGAAACATGTGGGATGTCTGTGAGCAGGGCTATCTGGGAGGGGCTGCAGAAATGTAGGTGCAACCTGTCCTACTATGAAAGCTGCTGATTCTGTGTTGGTTGTGCTCTTCCTGCTATGTTTTCATGCCACAAAGACTCTGAAAAATAATTATAGCGTCTGTTAGAATTTCAGAGAATATCCTAGTTTATAAGAAACAAACAATTTTTCATTCATGATAGGTTTGAGATTGTGCAATTTCATTTTCAAAATGTTTTGGTGTTTAGTAAGAAAATAAAATTAAGGTATTTATTTATTTAGAGACTTTTTTTTGCTATAGGGTGTGTGCACTCTCCAGAGAGACAAAGACAGAGAGACAGAAAGTGAGAAATCACCACCCCACAGGGGATGGCCATGTCGTAATCCCTTCTCCATTCTCTTCTTGAGATTTTGGGCATGCACCCACACGTGCCCAGCATGCGTTTCAAGCCAGTCGGTCCAGGACTCAAATTGCAGTTTGAATCCATGTAGAGTCCAGGACTCTATGTAGAGTCCAGCAATGTAACCATTATGCCATCTGCTGGTTCCATGACTATTTATTTTTAAACAACTACTTTCAAACAAATGAAATAGCCTTTCTACCTCTTGCTTTCCACCCCTACCCCCTTGCCAAAAGGAGAGGAGGCTTTATTTTTTCATCTTGACCCTTAGTGAATAATCTACTCATATGGTTATTCTGAAGCTTCCCACTTCAACAAAACGTGCAGCTCATGAAAGAGGAACTTAGTCCCACGTTGAGAAGGGGAGGTTCCTCCTTTTCTCCCTTAGTGTAGAGCAACAGAAGTACTCAGAGAGGGTCTTCCAGTATAAATTCTAGTCCTCAGCGCTCTACTGCAGGAGTGAGCATGACTATAAATATTCACTGCTCACCAGGTGCCAGGCCTCAGCGTGTGCTGTAGAGGTGGGATTTCATCAAATC